GGCTAATTTTTTGTATTTTTAATAGAGATGGTGTTTCACCGCGTTAGCCAGGAGGGTTCGATCTCCTGACCTCGTGATGTGCCCACCTCGGCCTCCCAACATGCTGTTTTCTAACCCTGACCCAAATTTCACCGCCCACATCGTTTTTAGGTGTAAAAGATGCAGTCCCATGGAGAAGGGGCAGAGCCAGGAGGCAGTGGGGCTGTGGGCTCAGAGCTCAGGAGTCGCCTCGCCTGAAAAAGTTGTTCTAGCTGAGAGGGACTGGCCCTGGGGTGGGCTCCAGGAAAACCCTGGTTAGGTCTGGGATAGAGCAAACTTGAAACAAAGACCACTTCTGCCACGGCTGCGTGGCACCAAGACCTGGAGATCAGGGGTTAAATCCTCGAGAGAGAGCAGGCCATGGCAACACAAGCAGCTCCAACCCTGGGGAAGCCATGTTGTCCCAGTCCAGGTCTCCAGGGCTGTGGCCGCCTCCCCTCCACAGCCTCCAGAGCAGCTGGCAGGCAAGCTCCGGCGTGTGCTGCCCTCTACAGGCTGCTCAGCCTCCATGCAGCTCACCCAGCCCAGGGCTCCAGTGGAGCCATGGGCCAGCGCAGGAGGGAACAGTGAGTAGCGCCGGAGTAGCCGCCACCTCCCCTCTGGGGAAAGGCAGACAGCAAATCGGGGGCGATGCGCTGGCCCTCCCGTGGAGCTGTGGTGAGAGGGGACGGGCCTCCAGGGTAAGGGGAGCTGGAAAATGGTCTCCCAAGGGCCCTGCGTAGGCTGAGCCAACCTGGGGTCCACTGAGTGGTGGATGCCCAGGGGCAAGGCTGCTGTCCCTCTCTCTCAAGGGAGAGGGCAGACAGGAGAGAAACAAGGAGGGAGGTGCGCGGGCGAATTCCAGTGCGCCAAGAACACGCCCTTTAAAATCTTAGGGGAGTGTATAGCAGGAACCTCGACCCCTCCCCACCGTCGCAGCCAACTCCAGCCACCCCCAGCGTGCCAAACCCGAAGGCAGAGAAGGGACAAGGAAGGAATCCCAGCAGGAAGGAAGCCCTGGCCTCCTGTCAATCAGAGCTGCGTCACAGGAGGAGGGGAGGATGGAAATAAATGAACACCACACCTCTTTTTCTATGAGGTTTCGCATTTATTTTGGTCATAAATATATGAGCATTTCATACATAACCAGGTGTTATGTGCTATTTGATCTCGGTATAAAGCAAAACCTAAACAAATATCCAACCCCCCAGAACCCCAACAACTTCACGTTCTCAGGAAGCTTACTTTAAAGGAATAAGCTTAAACACTGATAAGGCTGATAGGCCAGATACATCTTCAAGGAAGGCCTCTGAGGAAGGGACAAGGGAGCTGGGTCTGGACTGGCTCCCTCTGAGCTTTGAGGCTGAGTGTCCTGCACCGAAGGCCCAGCAAAGGCAAAGACCAGGAGGCAGCAGCACCCTGTGCCTTCCAGATGTGCAGGGGACAACGCGTGGGACGCCAGATGGAAGTGGGAGAGGATGGAAGTGCGCAGACCAGAAAGGCCACCCCCTCCTAAAACTCCACGGACACAACACTCTGCATGTGCGATCTTCAGGCAGTTCTAACTTTGTCCCACCAAACCAGTCCCGGAACAAAACACACAATGCCCTGAGATGGAAAAGATTGAAACCCCTAGAATGACTACATCTGTAATTTATCCTACCACGACTGGACTGCTGTGGAGAGCGTTTGCTGGAAAGAGGCTACAATGATTACTGAGGTTCTTAAATAAAATAATGGAATGTGACACAAGGACAAATGTGTCACCCATTTGAGGTTCCGTTGTCATAGTGTTTAAGAATTGGTATTACTCAGATGAATCAGATGCTTACAGAGAAGTCAAGCGACTCAAATAGGGAATCTGTACCCTAAAATGCAGCTCAGGAATCTCTACCCTAAATGCAGTCCAGGGACTCAGGGTCACAGACCACCAGAAGGGAGAGGGGCCCATCCACTCCTGAGTCGGCAACCATTTCACACCATTCCCAAGCACTGTCCACTCCTCCCTCCTGATGCCATGGCACATGCTGGGGCAGATAAAGACTTGCTGTGCCCTGAGCCCAAAGGAGGCCCAAGGTTCACTAATGTTCAACGGTAATGGCGCTTGAAAGAGAAACTCTTCACAGTCTCAGATCTAACTTAGTTCTGTCTTCATCTGCTGTGGACACGTAGGAAGATGCAGTTCCATGACTGTCCCAGCAGGACAAATCAGACACATGGCTTCCCAAAGATACCATGCTCTTCAAAATCCTGGGCATATGTAAACGTCTACTTATAAATAAATACGGCTATATACCTCTAAAATTATCAAGTAAGACAGGCTGGCCCCCTGAGAAGTTGCCAGTCATCAAACCCTTGTCCAGTCTCAGGGCGTAGGAGGGAGAACTGGAACACAGTCAGTGCCTCCCACGGAGGGAGGATTTCTCCCTTCGTCACTAGTTATATTTCCAGTCATTTTTGACTGCTGATTTGCACCCCCAGGGAACCCATGTAAACAGCCTAATAAGTGCATTTCCTAGAGTTTTTCCATGCTTACATCATTATACAAAAATCGGAAAATAGATAATACAGCATACAGTAATAAGCAATACAAATGTTTCTCTAATTAAGGTGGGGGTAAGCCCCAATAATCCCATCTTAACGCTCAAAACTCTAAGTCGAACCCTCATAAATCCATATGCTCATGACTTAGCATAGGACTATGTCTTGATAATCTCATTATTAACTCAGAAATATCCTAAACTGAAAATACAGCTAATAACCAGATAATCCCATTCTAAAGTTAAAAAACTATAAGGTAAACCACTGTGGCTATGCGGCATCTGTAGTTAGATGTCATTAAATGCACATACCAGTAGAGATGGAGCTTGCAATATAAGAAATAGAAAAAAAGACTTGTCTCATGATGAACAACTGGAAAGAATGACATCCTAAAACCACTTTTTTTCTTTTTAAATTGAGACGGAGTTTCACTATGTTGACCAGGCTGGTCTCAAACTCCTGAACTCAAGCGATCCACCAACCTCAGCCTCCCAAAGTGGTGGGATTACAGGCATGAGCCACCGCACTTGGACGAAAACCACCGTTAATACATAATCGTATAACTCTATGCCGCCAAGTGTCTTATACAAATTTCCCCAGTTTCCTTATCACACGCAGTATTTCATAAAAATTACTTCAAGTGCATTGACAAAGTTCTAGGACCTTTGGTAAGCTGCACCATATTGGATAGCAGAGTTAGTTGAGGCATGGTTCAAGTACTGGACTGTCTCTTCCAGGCTGCTTCCCCTTCTAGAAGAAAAGGTAAATGAGGAAAGCTCTGGTTTCCTGAAGAGATTCTTTCACAGGGACGACGTAGCAAAGCCTGCGTCATCTTCTTCATAAAAGAGCTTCTCAGAGTCCACCATGTGGTCCTGAATTGTTTCCTTTGCATGTCCTTCCTCCAGTGTTGCCGAGGCATCCAGCAAGGTGTTGACTGAGAAGAGAGAAGAGATTTAG